GATGGTGTAATACAATCTCGATCGTTGTGTTTTCGGACGTTGTCCATCGTCTGGTGTTAGGATTGTATCTGTACTCGTCTTCAGGTGTGGTGAAGGGGAAAGGGGACGTTCTCTGTGGGGTCATACAGAATGAGATAATCCAGTGACTGGAATTAGCCGACAAAGGTGAAGGATTCTTTGTCAGATATATCACTGTTCTACTCTTCTAGGACGTGGCTAGAATTATTAGGCGGCTCGAGATTCGAACCGGGAACCTCCCCGAGTGCGAAACGGGAGCTTCACCACGTTTTGGTGTTCAGCAACAAACTTAACTCTCCTTTGTTTTCCCCCCACGACAAAGAACATTTTCATTCGAGAGTCCACTCGACACGAAATGTATCATCGATTCAGTCTCTTGTTCCACTTAGGCTCACATCGCAAAAACTGATCTTTATTCGTGAGGGATTAAGATTGATCATGGGCATTTCAACGAATGTAGCAGTATTTATGAGAAATTAACGAGTACAAATCTCATTGTTCAATATCTGTAAAACATTAAGGATTATCAGTCTCACCACTTTTGGATCATCTGCCAAGAACGTATATGAACAGGTCCCAGTCCGAGAAAAGGATGGAAGGATCCTGTTCATATGGACCTGTCGTCAGACAGAACACTAAATAAATAAAATAATAATAGGATTACAGAAAGTCCTGAAACAATTAACAGAATTTTTCATGTTTCTCTGAAGTATCAAATACGTACTGTAATTTCTTTATGTAGATCGTAACATGCAAAGTTTAAATATGCCACGATGACTAACTTCCAAATCTTTACTATTTACCATTTATGATTATTTTGATACAGTTGAAATAACGTCGCCAAATGATAAATGAATGTATTCATGTGTGGGCTTATCATCAGAATGAAGAGAAAGTTGTATTTTAAATGAAATAAAGAACAAATAATGCCATAGCATGGAAGCGGTAAGAGATATAATTGTTGATTATACCAATGCCACGCTTGAACATTCAAACACGACAGCCAAAGCCATTGATTGACGTGAACATACTGGAATTGCAGGAACGCAGAGGACGATAACTTATCTATTCTCGAGGGTTCTGACGATGGTGTAATACAATCTCGATCGTTGTGTTTTCGGACGTTGTCCATCGTCTGGTGTTAGGATTGTATCTGTACTCGTCTTCAGGTGTGGTGAAGGGGAAAGGGGACGTTCTCTGTGGGGTCATACAGAATGAGATAATCCAGTGACTGGAATTAGCCGACAAAGGTGAAGGATTCTTTGTCAGATATATCACTGTTCTACTCTTCTAGGACGTGGCTAGAATTATTAGGCGGCTCGAGATTCGAACCGGGAACCTCCCCGAGTGCGAAACGGGAGCTTCACCACGTTTTGGTGTTCAGCAACAAACTTAACTCTCCTTTGTTTTCCCCCCACGACAAAGAACATTTTCATTCGAGAGTCCACTCGACACGAAATGTATCATCGATTCAGTCTCTTGTTCCACTTAGGCTCACATCGCAAAAACTGATCTTTATTCGTGAGGGATTAAGATTGATCATGGGCATTTCAACGAATGTAGCAGTATTTATGAGAAATTAACGAGTACAAATCTCATTGTTCAATATCTGTAAAACATTAAGGATTATCAGTCTCATCACATCTCAGACCCTGCTATATTTTGTAGTCGTTTGTGTTAACTTTGTCTTCAGGGTCGGTATAAATGTTATTTTTAATGTTCGCCTTTATAGTACGCTACCCCGCATTACATATGTGCCAAAGAAGATGCCGCATATGCACGGCGATACACACTGTTTTAACGTAATAAGAATTACACTGCAAAATCAATGTGTAACTTCGGATTTATGGTATAGGATGCGTTGGATGATGAGAATTACCCATCGTTTCTTAAGACATTGTATTTGCCACATTTGGGTTGAATGTGTAGAGGCTGGTCGTTTTTCGAGGCCTCATATAGGGCAGGAAGCCGGTAGCAATTTTGATTCGGTGCTGCTGATTGGTGGAGCTGAGATGGCAACTGCTTGTTTACTGAAACGAGGGATAATTTTCAACATTCGCCGCGTCCTATATCCTAAAGCCAAAGTTACAAACTGAACTCCTGCCGCGATGACCTAAGGACAAGAATTTTATAAAATTTGTACGACGAGTGGACGGATTGATTTCTTGCTGTATCGGTTACGTAGCGTTCAATAAGTTGGTGTGACAAGCTGTTATGGACGACGTGTATGATTTCGGGACGGATCACTTTTGGTTTATTTGAAGAACTATGTTAAATACATGAAGACGTATGACAAATATTTACCAAAGAACGTGTCTATAAGTTATGTAAGTCTCTTACTTTACTGATGCTTAATTCTAGATTTTGTGTTAAATATCTGATTATCCACGGTTGTGATTCCGTACTCATACATCTTTGATGTTTGTTAAGTGCGTAAGTAAATAGAAATTACAATGAATCCATCCAAACTTTCCTTTAG